GTGTAGTTGTGTTCCACCTTATGATTTTGGTAAGAAGTTCCACCTTATGATTGCTTCGTTCACTTCATCCGTTCCAACAATTTGCAGTGATATCAGACGGTTTCGGATTTCTTTGTGAATAATGTGTGCCAAGTATAGAGGAGAATGATGAGGCCTTACATGACATCTCCCATTCCTCTCCCTCCAATACCAATAGATAGTTGCTTGAAATGCCAGACGGAGAAGCCCATTATCAATCGGGGATAGTCGGTTTCGGAGTAGAGATCGAATCGTAACATTCCAATCATGATTAATTCGAGCTCCAAGAATTTCCGAGCTGAGCATGTCCCAAATTGTGTAAGAGTATGGACAAGCGAAGAACAAGTGATCTCTTGTCTCATCCAACTCACCACAAAGGGGACACGATTGGAAAGCACCCCCATTGCCACATACGAGATCCCGTTGAGAGCTTGTTTCGGCATGCTATGAAACCATGTCGGGGAAATGCCTGCGCGCGAAAACCATATATGCTTGCACCAATCAACTTGAGGAGCTATCAAACACATTTGATTTCTGCTTCCAAAGTGAAATGTCATTCCCAGCCATTGCATGTGGAACCGGTATCTGTTGAAGTTGACTGTATAGCTCCTGAACATTGGCGTTGCGACTACGTTTAATTACTCAGTCATTCTCTCTAATCACTTCTGAAACTTTTGCGTTTCTCTGCACTCCAAGTAGTCGTGGTCCATTTTCACCTGTTAATTTAATTAGCGGCTCATTTCTCATCCATGTATCCAACCAGAAAATGTTGAAGATTCTTTTTTCACATCCATCTTTATGAACTCAAAAGCGCGAGGTCTTAGTTTGAGAAGTTTTCTCCAAATCCATGAGCCCCGAGACGTTTTCTCTGAGATATCCCAGAACGAATTATGTCCTAGAAGACCACGCAACCCATAGAGAACCAGAGCATTCAAATAGCCTCCATATCAGTTTCAACGAGAATACCGTAGATGAATCTCTCAGTTTTCTTAAGCCTAGACCACCCTCGTTTTTTGGGAGGCAGAGATAAGCCCATGCAACTTTCGCTTTCGTGGTGATGTGAGGAGAGCCCGACCATAAGAAAGTTGAACACATCTTTTCGATAGCCTCAAAGCATCTATTAG